TAAAGAAATGGATTATAGTAGGAAACATTACACTGTTCCCTATTATAATATATTTCTCTATCCCAGTATCCCAGTATTGGATAAAATATTGCACTTTCTGTGACACAAACAACCACCATTAACCCTGCACAGTCTAGCGTCCAGTGCGTTGCTAAGTCTAGAGTCCAGTGCGTTGCTAAGTCTAGAGTTCAGTGCGTTACAAAGTCCTGAGTCCAGTGCAGTGCTAAGTCTAGAGTCCAATGCGTTACTAAGCCATGAGTCCAGTGCGTTGCTAAGACTAGAGTCCAGTGCGTTTCTAAGTCTTGAGTCCAGTGCGTTGCTAAGACTAGAGTCCAGTGTGTTTCTAAGTCTTGAGTCCAGTGCGTTGCTAAGTCTAAAGTCCAGTGAGTTACTAAGTCTTGAGTCCAGTGCTTTACTAAGTCTTGAGCCCAGTGTGTTGCAAAGTCATAAGTTCAATTCATATACAATTCTGCATTGCTGTTTAATGTATTGCTGGGATTTGTATTCCCTCTACAGCCGCTGCAATTCTGCTTTGGAGTGTAAGTTCAAGCACTGCGGTATATGTCAGAGCTATATACATGTATAATAGTGTGTGACTATGGGGGGGCATTAGAGTGTAAGCTCCTTTAGTGCAGAGAGCAGGGAGTGGGAAGGGGGGGGGCCCGAGAAAAAATCTTGCACCAGGGCCCTTTTGTTCCTTAGGTCCGCCACTGGATGGGCCTGTGGCTGGATCAGTAACGGGCACAGAGCTCCACATCGATTCAGACGCCAGCAAGGTGGAGGTGGGGTACTGGTATGGGCTGGTATTATAAAAGATGAGCTAGTTGGACCTTTTCGGGTTGAAGATGGACTCAAAAGCAACTCCCAAACCTACTGCCAGTTTTGAGAAGACACTTTCTTTATGCAGTGGTACAGGAAAAAGTCTGCATCTTTCAAGAAGGCCGTGATATCTATGCAGCACAATGCTCCATCGCATGCATCAAAGATCTCCATTGCATGGCTAGCCAGTAAAGGCCTTAAAGATGAGATGACAAGTGAGATGGGAACATTTTCCTTTTCCATTTAGTTGCATAATAATCCTGCACACTAATAGTTGCCCAATAATTGTGCACACATAGATATTCTTCTAAGAAAGCCCAAACCTCACTTTTACTTTCTTAAATATTCAGTTGTGAGGTTTATTACCATTTTGGAGTGACTGAGAGCACTGGAGTTGTTTGATAATGAAATGAATCCTCAAAAATACAACTGATACAAATGCTTTGGCAGGCAAACAGCTTCCTTAAAAGTATTATATGATCTGTTTATTTAACTGTGTGTTCTGAACTGGATTCACATATATTTGTTGCAGTAGAGCACAGTAAACGTGCATTTTACTGCGCGTTACTACAACACAAGGCGATGCACACATCATGGTGCATTGCAGTCCCATTTATTTTGAAGTAGCAGGCAACCCACCCAGGTGTAATTTTTATCTGGGGCTCCGTTAGAGAGATTTCTCCTTGCTTCCTCTTTTGGGACAACGTTTTACCAGACAGGAAGTGAGATAAAATCTGCAATAGAAGGGCAACTATAAAAAGCTGACACATGCTCTACCCTTTACCTATTCAACTACGGCTGCCTGTGTTGGTGTTGCAGAGTGAAAAGGTTGTCCCCAGGACAGGAAATGAGAAGAAATCGCTCTGAGTCTCAGACACAAATACAACCCCAACAGGAGTTCTAACTCTTCCCCACGCTATATAGATACACTTTACCACAAACATTACAGTCTGACCATACAATCTCTTTTAGATCTACCACCAACTATGTCGTGTAAGGGATGGCCTGATTGGATTTAGATTAATTGTATAGTTTGGGTAGGTCTTTATATTACATTAAAGTGTCTGTTGGTAAATCTACAGTTTATTGTACAAAGACTGTAAGGTCTGATTGTACTGTGTATGACAAGATTACGTCTTTAGATCAGGGGTGGGCAAACTCTAGCCCTCCAGCTGTTGTGGGACTACAAATCCCATTAGGCATTGCAAGGTTCTCACAGGCATGACTCCCAAAGACAAATGCATGATGAGACCTGTAGTTTCAGCACAGCTGGAGGGCTGGTGTTTGCCCACCCCTGCTTTAGAGCGATATGGGAGTTGTCTACCGAGATAAAACGGTGGGAAAAATATCTGAGGCTACATGATCCATTGCAGGCTCTGAGATCATTTACAGAACATTCAAGAACTGTCAGGACTTTTATTAAATCCCTGCAAATCAACCTGTCATTTGACAGTCACTTCAGGAGACAGACCATAGGCTGTGTGCTGGCATAAGCGCTGTCTATGCCTCTGGATGGAACTAGAGGGTTAATATGTAGGGTGGTTAATCTAAACTTGCTGGATTAGCACAGCCTTTCTGAACAACACATTATTTTCAGGGCGAGGACACAAAGAAATGAGCTTCTGACGGCTAGAATTTGTGAGTCAAAGGTTGACTCACTTCAGGTTTTTCAGTGCTGATATGCCAAGAATGCTGCACCTGTTCAAGGATTCTGCCTCTGTGCGGCTGTTCAGAAAACTGCACAATCTTCTGCAATGGCAGTCTACATATTTTTCTCATGACAGGTTCCCTTTAGTGTCTCATTCAGCTGTTTGTTAGTGTATGAAAGTCTGATCAGTATGTCTGCTACACCATTAGTGTAAGTTAGTCAGTGTGAGCCTGTTAGCATTTCAGCTTTAAGTTCATTTACTCTCTTCTCTTTCTAAGTGAATTATCACTTAGCTTACTGAACAAGGTGAAGTTGTGCTGACTTCAATTTATTTCTTTTTTTTATTTTACCTTCACATGATTGGGTGTTCTTTGCAAATAAAATGTTTAGTTTGTTTCACATCATTCACTATAATAAGTGAAAATTCACTTTTAAGATGAAAATGCTGTACTGCGTTTGTAAATCAGCAACACCGTGCCATAGATATCTCTCCCTACCAACTCTCAAACATTGGGTCCACTGTCATACCCTGCATACTCCTGTCCTGCAAGTACTCCCTTCTATTATACCCTCCATACCGCGCTCCTGCACATACTGACCTCTGTGATACCCTTTACACGCCTTTCCTGCATGTACTGCCTTCTGTTATACCCTCCACACTCCTCTCCTGCAGGTACTGACCTCTGTGATACCGTGTATTAGGGTTGCCGGACAGTCCGGGTTTTGAATGATGTGTCCGGGTTTCATAGCAGCTGAAACCCAGAACAAGATGTCAGGCAGAAAGGGGCAACCACAATTAAGATAGGGCCGACTAGCCCCCCCTACTGAAAATAGGCTTGACTGTGATATTTACAAATGAATGGGTGGAACTATTTACATATGAATAATCCGTGACTCATTCATATGTAAATATAATGGTTAATTGATATTTAAATTCTGCACCTCCCCTCCGTTACATTGCTGGTCAATGTATATACCTATGTTACATTAGCGGTCACTGAGAAAATCTCTCTCTCTCTCTCTCTCATACATTCTCCCAAAACAATTGCCACGCAGCGCTAGAGTGTTCAGGTTTTGCTTAAAGAAAAGGTGGTAACCCTACCCTGCACGCTCCTTTCCTGCATGTACTGCCCTCTGTTATATCCGCTACACTCCTCTCCTGCATGTACTGCCCTCTGATATAACCTCCACACTCCTTTCTTGCAAGTACTGCCTTCTGTTATACCCTCCATACTCCTATCCTGCACATACTGCCCTCCGTGATACCCTTCACGCACCTTTCCTGCATGTACTGCCCTCTGATATATCCTTTACACTCATTTCCTTCCTGTACTGTCCTCTGGTTTACCCTCCACACTTCTCTCCTGCATGTACTGCCTGTTCTTATCATGCCCTATGCACTCCTCCCGTGCACATTATGCCTGCTAAGACACCTTTTAGTGTCTTTTGTAATATCCAAAACCTTAGCCATATTGGAACGGGCACACTTTTGCTGATGCATAAATAAAAAATGAAAAAAGCTAGGACCTAAAAACTGCATTTACTGTGTTGTATGTGTATGTATTTCTGTACCTATAGCCTCTATTTTAACATTCTCCAATTTAACAAAAATTCTTTTAGTCTGATCAACAGACCAATCATTCAAAACTCTAAAGTGATTAATAATATGTTCTGCACATTTTTTCTCTCTTATATATACGTGTCAAATTTACACTCTACTACTAACATGTTATTATTGTTATCTTTTATGATCTTTTTTGAACTAGATTGCTTATGCTACTTTATGGGGTTTTTTTCTGTTATGTTCAATTTTAAGTAAATACACTTGAATTTAAAAAAACCTCGAAAGAGGAAAGACTTGCGCAAAGAAATCTGTGCATCATTCTACAATTTATGTCTTTTAGTCAATGTTTTGTCTGTATGTCCGTCTGTGTGTGTTAGTGTAGAAAACAGAGCATGCAACAAACATATGTCTGTTGGTAAATTTGTATGACAGACAAGACACTCGTGCATGCACACCACAAAATGTCTATCACCTCCTCTTTCTCTACCATTCAGCTGAAGCCTTTGCCTTGGTGTCTTATTTTTCAATCAACAGCATCCTTTACCTTGCTGACGTTTTCCCTGCCAGCATCCTCTCCCTCACCAACTTCTTTCTCTAAAAATACTTCCTTCGTTGCTTGGCTGCATCCTGTCTCTGGTGGGATCCATTGTTGCACCCGGACTCCCTACTCTGAGGAATCCTTCCACCACATTTTCCAGTAGTCTGGCCCTTGCTGACATCCCCATCCCCAGCAGCCCGTTACACACTTGTGACTCCTTCCTAAGGTAATAGCCTGGCCCTCAACACCCATTCTCACTGCTGAATTCTTCTTCAGCCAACAGCCTATCCCTCATTGCTGACTTCACCCTTGGCCAACAGCTTGTCCTTTGGGGAGCAGCCTATTCCACCACTAACGTCTTGTTTTGTAAGCAGCATGTTACATGTTGCCAACTTCTTTCTCATATAGCAGCCAGTCCTTTGCTGTTGATTCTTTCCTCGGCTTATGTCCTCATTGACACCCAGCCTATCCCTCAACACTGACTTAATTCTCATCCACCGGCCTATCACTGGATGCTGAATCAGTCATCTCCACCAACTCCTCCCTTTATCATCAACCTTTTGCAAGCTACCAACATTTTTCTTGGCGGACTTTTGGCACCTATGCCACTCTTCTCATTCCCTGTTCTCTAATCCAAGGGTGTGTGGACCACAGGTGTAAGGAAAGCCCTCTTGTCAACTCTCTAACCATTTACGTGATCTATTTTCTCATACAGTTATACCACTGTTTACATTCAGGGAATCCCTTCAAGGGATCTAGCCACATTTATGTTTTTCTACATATATACACTGTTGCCAATGTTTTCACTGGTTCATCTTAAAGTGTATTTAAACGCAAAAGCAAAAATATAATACATTGCAACTTATCAATCCTTATAAGTGGTGGCTGCATTCATTTTCTTTTTTAGTCTTCTTTCCTTTATTTTCACATAGTGCTCTTTCCAGGAACTCTGTTATCTTTCAACTTCCTTTAACAGACCAAGCTGTCCAGCAAAAGGACAAGGATCACAATTATCAGCTTTTATTTATTTATGTACAACCTTGACCCAAAAAGGAAAAATAAGTTCATGTAAATTTGCTAGTGTACTACCCTCTTCACAGGTTACTGCTGTCTAATGGTGACCCTGTTGCCTCACCATAGAGTGGAGCCACCCTTAGACAGGAAGTGTGTACTGGGTGAATCACCAGGAGAAAATAAAGGAAAAAAGCCAAAAAAAAGAAGGATGATCCTGGGATGGGCCTCTACTAATCTGAATAGTGTACAGGAAGCAGAGTAAAATCAACCAAGTGAGAGGAGCTCTCTGGCGGCTTCTGGACATATCATGGTATATAGGCTTAGGAGAGAATTTGCAGAAGAGGAGGCTAAAGCAGGCTCATCAGAGATTTCGCAGAAAAATCCAATGTTGTTGAACATAGGGTCGCTTTTTTTCCCAGAGAGGGGATGTCCAGGAGAAATCTTCCCCAGAGAGCAGGGCAATTGGAAAATTACATAGGCCACTTTAGTCCTGTCCATATGGAAGTTCTGTGGCTGTAACTCAAGGCACAGTATAATTACACTGACTTATGAACCCACAGCAACCCTTTGGTTCCTGGGAGAAGCATGGAGGACGTGGCAAGTGAAGACTGGAGGTACCTGGCATGTCAGGCGACTTTTGTGGACAGAGCTGGTTCGGCAGCTGGCGTAAGAGGCCTGTAGCTGATCCAAACAAGTCGAAAAAATATGGAGAGGTAGAAGTTTTTTAGCATCAGTAAACAACTTGGGTACGTCACAGGATTAATGGCTCAAGCAAACTGTCACAGACAGGGGTCCATATCTACTGAAAGAAGGATAGTTGGGGTGATTGCCGGAGCGTACCTGAAAGTAGAGAGCCAGCTGCAGAGTGGGTCAGAGACTTTATGGAGACACAGCTTTCACAGATGCGCACTGGGTGTACTAGGAGTTGCTAGATGACACATAATGCTCAGGGGTCACTGGAGTCACGTGGCACATAGGAGTCACTGAATGACACTGTGCACACGGGACAACTGGGGCCATTGGATGACACAGGATGCTCACAAGTCACTGGAGACACAGGGGCCCACAGGAGTCACAGTGTTCACAGGGGTGCAGTGGGGTCAATGGATGACACAGGATACTCATGGGTCACTGGAGACTCAGGGGCCCACAGGAGTCACAGTGTGCACAGGGGTGCACTGGATGAAGCAGGATGCTAATGGGCCACTGGAGACACAGGGGCACACTGGGGTCACCAGATGACACAGGATGCTCAAGCATTACTGGCATCACAGGGCACTCAGGCCTCAGGGGCTTACTAGGGTCATCGGATGACACAGGATGCTCACCGGTCGCTGGAGTCACAGAGCGCATCGGATGATACTGAATGCTGCTGAAGAAGCAGAGGATGCACAGGACTGAAGGAAGACATGGAGGACAGGTAAGGTTACACAGCAGGGGGGCCAACTTAGGCATAGTGAGCATTGCTCAAGAGCTGTTGCCTGATTGACCTGATTGATGGGAGGAGAGTTGAGTCTGACACAGCAAACCTATTCACTTTCAGGGGTATATTTATAAACCGGTGAATGTGACCTATACCAAAACATTCACTGGTAGTGAATTAACGTCACGTAAAACACTTGCAGTGAATCTTTTGAATGTCAGATTTATTGTTATATTAATATATCCCTAAATGTCTAACTCTACACCTGTTTCTGATGTCCATAGTGGTAAAAACTGTTTATTTTTCCCATAGTGCACAATGGTTAATTTCTTTCTGTTATAATGCTTAATGGCATTGGCAGAGATCATTTACAGGTCCAGCCAAATCCTGTTTTAAAACAAGCCAAAAACTATTTTAAAGATAGCCAAAATAAACATGTACATGCACAATATAGTGTGTGTGTGTGTGTGTGACTAGAAATCACCTAGAAACAAAATGTGCAGCCAGCAGCATGGCTTGCAACTTTCGATAATGCAACAACCATATAAACAGCCACTTTCTATATGTGTCTTTTGTTTTTTGAAGCATTGCTCTTCAGAAAAGCTATGATCCACATCTAAGTTTGGCTGATGTGTAGCTCCAAAAGTCATCTTAGGATGCAAGAATTTCTGAGTATGTTTAGGTCTGCACTAGCCATTTCATGATCCATGCTAACTTTATACCAACCCCAACCAATAACAATACTCAGCAGAACAGCTGAAAACTGGCAAAACTGGAAAAAAAAGCCCTCTGAGCATTGCATGTAAAACTGGAAGCATCCACAGTGGAAGCAAAGCCCAGTGCATGATAAATCTATTCTCAGACCTGATGTAGTTAAGGGCATTGCCCAAGCCAAGCCGCAAACTGGACAGTAGAGAGGAACTACTAAGGAAAACAAAACTCAGAAACCTAAACCTAATATTTTTAGTAGGGATGCACTCATACTGGTTTTACGGTATTGAGTACAAGTACCGATATTTATCTTTCGGTACTCAGGAATACTGAATACCGATACCAGTACTTTTGGGAGCATGGAGCCGGCTGACGCCCGGCTTCCTGATTGTCCTCCATGACTCCATGCTGATTGGCCCGGTAGCCGGCTTCCTGCTTGGCTAGGAAGCCGGCTCCATGCTGTTAGGCTGTCTCAATGCTGATTGGCCGGGAAGCCAATTCAAGTTTTTATCTGTTTTGAATAGATATTTCTTCTTTCCTGGAAACTTTTTTTTAAATGAATTCATTTTTGAATTGTATACTTCTTGGATAGAATGAAAAATATTAAGAGCTTTCTTTTTTTTACTTTTGCTGGTAAACAAATGCAGCGCTGTCAGCTGTGAGTAAAGGTAAATTAAGGAAATGCTTCTACATCTGCATCTAGAAGGAATCCCTAAGATTGCGGTACAGGTTGATGTCTAGTGTTCTGCATTTCAGTGAACTGTAGGAGGTACTTTTATCAAGTAGGATTTATCGAGAGAAATATGAGGCTTGGAAAAGAATGTGTGGTCCTGTCCGTGTCCCTTCGAGCTAGTCTGAAATTTCTCAGTCAATAAATTGCAGTCACGGTTTGGGTAATCTAATAGCAATACACCCACCGCTGTCAGAATTCAATAGCCCAGCAGGGGGAATCAAGCATTTTTCTTGTTCAGCCTGTGGGGCTGAATGAGAAAAAATGATCAGTGTATGGCCAGCTTTAGAACTGACCCATTAGAAGTGTAGGGCCAACTCTTCAAGTAGTCCAGTTCAAGGTAAACAAATCCAATGTGGATGAACTTTGTTACAGAAAATCCAAATGTCATTATTCTCTTAAGTAATACAAATCCTGGACTTCCCAAGCATGTGATATGCCTCCTGCATCCAAGGATACAGTGCTCAGAGCCAGAATGAGCAATGAATGTGGGGTGGGGTGCCATACAACGTTCAGGCATATTGTCTGTATTTTCAGGTGAGATTTCAGGACAGCAGCAGCGATTGGAGAAGCACGGCAGTGTTGCAAAGGGTAAGTTCAGGCACTCGAGGGTGCCAGGCGCAGGGTAGGGGGAGATAGGTTTGGACTTTAATTTGTGTTAGGTGGATGCAGAAATTCCCTCTGCAATATGCAGGAATCCATATAAATGTACAATTTTGTTTATGCTTCTGCAGAGCTGAATATAAATGTAGTAATCTAGTTCCTTATATTTATCATCTATAGAGTGTTATTCATTAAGTCAAAAGGACAGAGAAACGAATAGCATACTTAAAAGTGTGATACATTTACATATAAATAATCACATAGGTATAGCCACAATAAACTCCGTTCTACCTTGAAGCAGAAACATGTTTCCCATATGAGTCACAAGAGTCTGACTGAGGTTTGCATACATGATTTGCAGAAATACATTATGTGGATTAGTAGATTCTTGCCAAGGATATCGCACTATGCCACAGCATCTCTTGCATAACAATCTTCCACAAGTGTCTTAACTGGGTATACATTAATCTTTTCACATTTTGTTGTTGTTGTATTAGAAATTACTTACAAAACCAAACAGGCCATTATAGGAAGGCTGTGTTACAGCAATCCAAAATGTATAGGTGGCAGTACCTACCTCCTAATTAATCTCTTAATAGGCAGTACCTATCTCTTAAAGTGGACATTTACACTCAAAAATTAAATTCTACCAATGCATCCCTCTATGTATGATGATTAATAATAACATAGACATGTCAGGTGTAAAATGCTGGGATTTTAAAATACTTACACTTGCAGAGCATTCACTTCCTGCTTTGAAAGTGCAAAATTA